TTTTTTTGGGGACATGTTTCTCTTACAGAAACCTATGCAATTCCCCAAAAAGAATGTCAAATGCAAAATTCAATAGGGAAGCAACGTTCGCATTTGACATTTTTAGTCAAGTTTTGTCAGAGGAACACTTTTTCCCTGAAATAATCTTTCTGTTCCTAAATAAAAACCTCGGAAGTTCCCAAATACAAACTTTGTTTCCAGTTGGGACTATATCATCAACGCTAAAACAATTTTGCAACGAACACATCTTGCTGATGAGATGATCAACCTCAAAAAACCTCTGAATCCAAATTTTCTACCTTGATCAAAGCAAATTCGCAACTGAACTTCTTTTAAGTTCCTGAGCTCGGTTTCCACATCTAGCGACAGTGGATAGGGGCGGAGCTTGTAGTGCCATGGTATCTTGAGGATCGAGTAATCGCAGCGAGTCGAATGTGCTTGCAGGCACCCCACTTACTTAGGTGCAAGAATTTGACTCGGGTGAAAAACTTCATGGCACGATCTGGTGCTTGGGAACGAGATTCGAGCTCCAAGAGTGATGAAATCTGAAAATTTAGCTTATTCATTCTTATGGGCTCCAGTAACACCGTTGCAGGCTCTTCTGGAAACGGCAGCGTCATTGGCCAGCATTCCAGCTTTCGTGCCTTACCTCGTCAAACCATATACGAAGGGCGCAAAATCCATTGCTAAGGAGCTTCTCATACCTTTCAAGGAAATCATGTCCTCATACAACTCTACATGGAAAGAACAAATGGGTTCTCCCGACTTTAGGATGGTCGAATTTATTAGAAAAACTGAATCTTACGCTGAGGTGAGAAATTCGAATATATTGGCTACCTGCGGAGATGTCACAGTATATACCACATAATAGGAAAAATTCTAAAAAATGTCTGGTCTTTGTGCGTCCGGCATCTAGGATTAATTCGTTTTACCCTCATGAACTTTTTCACATCACCAACTCAGTGCTCAGGACGAAGACGAAATAGGCTTTTAGAGAAAACTTTGATCGCCAACTTGCGCAGCAAGATCACCTGCGCAACTAAACTATAAGCAATCGAAAGAAAAATACTTACGATTATTTTGAAGGCATCCGAGCAGATTTGAACATTTTCGACTACTATCCTAATCCACTACTAGGGCTTCGATCGAGGACAATCGCCTAAGTTCGACTCTAAACACCCCCTAAAAACAAATTGGTAACACTCCTTGCGACTAGGGTAGCGTCATAAGCACTGTCCACAGCTCCCACAAAATAGCTTTCAAAAAGTGGTATTTTTGAGACATTCCCTTCTGAATTGCATATTTGTAATCAGCGCTATGAAAAGACTCGGCTACGGCAATAAAGTGGAGGTCGCGAATCTGCCCGCGTTCTGCTTCCAGGATAAAAAAAAACATAAAATTGAATGGCAAGACTATATATCTTATACATACATGAAGCTGAATGTCTTTATGTTCACTTGAGGATTTTATCTTGTTTTCATGTTGTTTCTCATATGATTTGTTGTGCCTGTCTATCATGAAAACAGTTGACAAATCCGGACTTCACTGAGGATGAGATAGAGTATTTAGAGGATTAAGATCGTCATATATGCAACGATGCGCAATAGTGCTGCAACAAAATAAACAACATGGAGTAATAGTAACGTGCAGAAATAAAACACATTCACTTTAAATCCTTGAAAGTTCAATTTAGATCATCTTGAAAGCGGCTCGTGAGTATGAACGAACATTGCCTGATGAAGAACGTATAAGAACGGCCTCGGTGATCCGACCTCCTTCTACACCAATAGAAAACAAGGATGAAATGCTCGATTCAGCTGATCTATCACTACTGTACGGGAAGGCTCTCAAGCATCTTCAGATGCAGTCATACAGGCGAGTCATCGCTTCGGGAAGAAGGATTTGCCATTTGGAACCTCTGTCTCAAACGGTGTCGACGACTTGCGGGATAAAGGCCGTAAGTGTGGAAAAATGCCCGAGTGCCCGGAAGACACGTCCGCAAACGTAGTGCAAGGTCCAAGCAAGGCGGGTGCGGGAATAGAGCCGCATAAGCAGGCGACACCGCTTTTGAGACAGAGAATTTCGCTCACAAACTGATTCAAGATATTTTTCCAGGTTTATAGGAGATTATGGCAAGCTAGTCACTCCTTATACATTCAAGAAAGACATTCGCAACACCAATCCATTCTCACCATCATTACGCGAAAGAACAAAACGAATAGCAAAAGAACTTGCCTCGATGCCGAACGCTCTACCGCTCAATGCAAGCAATAGCATATTTGTATGCGTCGACGAAGGGCGATGTGACATAATCAAGGTAAAGGCATAGAACAATCGATTTTGGAGATCAAAAAAGCAACATGATTTCATCAGGTTCTCATATCCGGCCCCGATGACACTCCTTACGCAAATGGGCTCTTTGAGTTTGACGTATTCTTCCCCACCAGGTAGAAATCCAATATTTGAATAAATATTTTTGTGGACATCGTCTGATTGCAGTTACCCGTACTCACCTCCGAAGTGCGCCTTTTTGACAACTGGAGCAGGGAATGTTCGATTCAACCCCAATCTCTACAATGACGGAAAAATCTGCCTTTCGATCCTAGGAACTTGGGAAGGACGCCCTGAGGAAAAATGGAGCTCATACTGTTCATTGATGCAAGTGCTTGTTAGCATACAGGTACTAATATTGCAGCACAATGATCTAGCTAATATATTTGCTTTTTGTCTAGGGGCTTATTTTCGTCAAGCATCCATATTTCAACGAACCTGGTTTCGAGAAGTATCAAGGAACGGAAAAAGGCGATGACTATTCCAGAAAGTACAATCTGCAGATCGAGCATGCTACACTCAATTATGCCATACGAGATCAACTGAAGAATCCTTCGGAGTATTTCAAGGTCAGGCAGATGTTCCTCGTTCTTCCAGTGCCACTTTTACTTACTGACCCTCTAGAAAGTGATTCTACGGCATTTCTGGCTAAAGCGTCACGCGATCATAAAACAAGCAAAAAATTGGATAGTTGAGATGAGGAAGGACGTAGCAGAGGCGGAACGAAACCCAAAAAGGAGGGAAAGCCTCACATTTGAGAGTCTCTACAATCCCTACCAACAGGTCTGTGGCTAAGCCTGTGCTTTCTGTTCTTGTGCAAG